ATAGATCCTACTAAATTGGTGACACATGATTTATGCTTCAAAAAACCATGTTGATTGTGATTTATTTCATTATCTACACCAATACTCTTGTAGGAATTTAGTTTTAATTATTGTTGGTATATGTTTGATGCAGTAAAAGTTGGTATTGGGCAATCTTTATCTGTTTGAATAGGAAAATTTGGTATTTCATTGTTTTCATGTTGTAAAAATATTGATTTAAATTGATTACTTAATTGATTGACAATATCAAACCTGTTAGTTAATAACTCACCATCTTGATTATTTATTCTCCTAATATAACCATAAACTGATTCCTGATGTTAACATATGAGTAGAATTGTTTTGGCATATACCTGAAGTTTTTTATTAATTGTATTTCATATTTCCTCTTTGATAACTTTATTTGTTTTTCAGCTTCTTTTTCAAATAACTTATACTGTTGCATTTGTGGTTCAAATTTCCAACCAGAATTTCAATTAAGCTTCCATAACATATTTTTACTAATTTGATTTGACCTTATTAGAAAGCCATTTTAAATTTTGTTTATATAGACTTGTGCTAATGGCTGGTATATACTTATTACATACAGATGTATAACAAAAATTTTTTATAAGATATTTCAATATCATGCTCATTGAAAACTTTTTTCCATTCAATTTGTGAAAAATATTTGCTAATTTATTTATAATTACCTTGTTTATAATTCAAAAAAACATTTGTTAAATTTGATTGATTTTTATGATTTAAATAAAAGCTCTACATTAAAACTAAATGATTTTAATTTTTTGGGCTGTAATTGATATAGAAAACATGGCTCATTGTAATTGATATAGAAAACTCTAACTGATGATTCAGACATAATTAGATCTAGAACAGTTATAATACCTTCACTTTTTTATTATTTATTATGTTATTATATTATATATATACATATATATATATATATATATATATATATATATATATATATATATATATATATATATGCATATATATATATATATATATATATACATATATATATATATATATATATATGCATATGTATATATATACATATATATATATATATATATATATATATATATATATATATATATATATATATATATATATATATATATATATATATATATATATATATATATATATATATATATATATATGTATATATATATATATATATATATATATATCAGCGCTTGAAATAATTATTCAAAGGTTGCCGATCAACATTGATCGACTGAAATAAAGAAAATTAAAAACCAGACGATCAAATAATTTTTTAGACGATCAATTTTTTATTAAATTTTATTAAAATTTACAATGTCTTTTTTGATCCTACCTCACATGATTTTTGTTTTGCCGATATCATTTTATACTTTTTAATTAATTATAATTTTAATTATTCTCTTTAGAATTTAAGTAAATCGTTCGTTTTGCCGTTTTGAATTTAATAATTTTATTTAGAATTTAAGTATACCGTTGGTTTTGCCATTTTTCTTTTTGTATTATTTTGAATATATATGAAACATTGCTGTTTTTATTTTAATTATTTTATTTAGAGTTCGCCTGTTTTGCCGTATTTCTTTTTTATTGTTTCAATTTGAGTATAAATAATACATTACCGTATTTATTTTATTTATTTTTTTTGGAATTTAAGTTAACATTAGTTTTGCCATATTTATGTTAGTTATTTTATTCAGAATTTAAGCAAATGTTCGTAAAAATTTTATTTAGAATTAAAAAAAAACAATCTTTTGATGTTTTTATTTCAGTTATTTTATTTAGAATTAAAATAAATCGTTTGTTTCTCTGTTTTAATTTTAATTATTTTATTTTCAATCAAAATAAAACTTTGCCGTTTTTTTTTTATATATATTTTTTATTTAGAATATAAAGATGTTTGTTTTTCCGTTTTTATCCTAATTATTTTATTTAAAATATAAATTAATTTTCGATGTGTCTTTTTTATTTTATTTTATTATAGAAAAAATAAACAAATGGATTGTTTTGCCGTTTAAGAATTATAATAAAACTTTGCTGTTTTTTTTAAAATTATTTTATTCAGAATTTAAATAAGTTGTTTGTTTTGCCGTTTTTACCTACATTATTTTATTTAAAATATAATTCATTTCAAAATAATTTTGATGCTAATTAAGTTTTAACTTTGTATTTAAAATGTTTTTGTATTAATGTATAATATGATAACATAATAAATAATAACAAATTTATAATAAGAATAATAATAAAAATATATACATTTTAAAAGTTTTTAAACAAGTCTAAATTTTACTGTCCTTCTTAATAATTAAACTATTTTATATTATTAACAAAAAAACAATAAACAATCAGTGGTGTACCCTCCGTTTTTTATCCTAAAACAGTTTTTATTTCATATTTGAGTATAAAAGTTTTATTTTTGTATATTCCTCGGGAGAAAATACTCATGAAAAAAAAATTTAATGTCTGACTACTAAAATATGTCTAATAAGAAACGGTTTATTTAAAAGTGAATTAATTTATTTATTAAATTAATTAAAGATGTGTTGTCATTTTTGTCATAGTCAATAGGCCGGGTGAATAAATAAAAGCAATTGCTTTTACTCAGCGTTTTTGGAGTAATACTTCAGCTTAACAAGAATAAAAATGTATCGTTTCGTTTCTTTTTGTCAATCTTAACAAAGATTTCTTTACATGAAGCAAAAAAAATGAAAGCCAAAATTTGCAAAGAAGTTTTATATATAGAAAAATATTCTATTATTCTCTATCAATCTTCAATCGAATTTAATTTAGTTGAGTCTTTAAAACATAATTTTTAATGTTTTAAACATTTATCATTATATTAAGACTTTTTTTTTTAGAAAAAAAGAATTTCCATGGGCATCATTAATTGCGTTCTGATAATGATTTTTCATGTGCATCTTAATTTTTTTGTTAATTTTGTTTGACAAAGTTAAAATAAAAGTTTATTTTACTAATAAAAACAAGAGATTCAGTGTTATTAATGATTAAACTGCCCATTCATGTGGTTCAAAATACAACTATTAAGTTAGAAAAATAGTGCGACTGCAATACTGACTAGAATATTTAAATGGGCAAAACAAAAGACATTACTCCAAGAAAAGCATCTGGGATTGTGACCGGGCCTGGGATTAAGACCGGGTCTGCACAAACATTTATACATCTTAAAAAAAAAATTTTTCATTCAAAATTCATGTTATATTTTTTATATATATGCATATATAAACATCATTATGACCAACACGATCATCATAATCATCATTACCATCATCATTATGATCATCATAATCATCATATGTTTATATTCATAATATGTATGCATAAAGCGCATCTCAGAAGCTTTTATTCCTTCTGGAATAAATGTTTAAAAGCTTCTATTCCTTCTCTTCAATTTCAAGTCAAGCCTCATTCTACTTAACATTTTTCAGCATCTTGACCATTTGCTTTATTAAACTTTAATCATTTGTCACACCTTTTTTACAAGAGTATCTCTCTTTAGAACAAATATCTTTTTATTATTTCAAGAAGCCAATGTTAAAAGATCCTATTTGGTGTTAAGCTCTGTTATTCTCAGTTTAATGAATCTTGTATCTTATCTCAGATGTTAGGTTCTAGGGACTTTTGATTAGTCTTTATCAGTGTCATTAACTAAAGTAAGTCAATCATTTAATCTCTAATTCATGGGCCTGATCTTTTTACTTCTCCCCAGAATAAACCAGAGTTATTTGCAAAGAAATCTTACTCTAATTTGACTTGAATATAATGGCCATACTCTTACTACCAGTTAAACAGATTAACCCATTGTTAAACATCGAAATCACTCTGGCTTCCAATGCTAAAGTTAATTCTTAATTAAAAACTTCTACAGTTTGTGCTCCAGACAAGATTTCGATCATAGTCTCAAAAAAGTGTTCTCCAGAACTCTTTTCAATTTTTGCTAAATTTTTAAAAAATGCTAAATAAGTGGTTTCGATTTTTCAAAATTCTAGAAAACACTTTGACCTCTCCAGTTATACTACGAATAGTTTCTGTTGTTAGTTTTTTTATATAAAGTTTTTGAGATTAATTTCTTTCTTTCTAACTGCAGTATAAAGTTATTCTTGAAGGCCTACACTCTTTATTTTAAGTAACTTTATGGGTACCACAAGCTGCTATCTTTGCTCCTGTATTGTTTCTTATCTACAATATTAATCTTCATTTTTATTTGCTTAGAACAAGCAGCCGATTTTTCTAATCTAATCTCTCTATTGCAATCGCCTAAAGATTAGAGTAGATTTTAATTCTGGACTTTGAATTCACAATTTTTATTAGACAAAATATGGCAATAAAGTTGGCATTCTTATATCGATGAATAGTAACTTTTTTACTCTCAGACAAAGCATATTGCAAATGTAATTAGGCCTGCTTTATCTGCCAAGCTTATAGCTTTATCTGTCAAGCTTATAGCTTGGCAGATAAAGCAGGTCTAATATAAGAGCCATACAGGAGTGTAATACATTCCAGCAGGACTTGGCTCCATGTCATACTGCCAAAGTCATAGCCACCTGGCTTAAGAAAAACAAAATAAAGCTTCTAGATTACCCTGAAAGCTCTCCTGACCTAAATCCAATTGAGAATCTTTGGTGTATCATGAAGAGAAAAGTGGCAATCCATGCTCTATCAAATATGCAGGATCCCATGTATTGGCTGAAACGAGTTTGGTGCAATAACTGTTGAATTGTGTAAAAAAATACTTTATGTCAAAGAGATTAAAACTGATGCTTAAACATAAGGGTGCTGCCACAAAATATTAAATTGTTTGTTTTTTGTCCATCAATGTTTTTATTAGTGCTGTATGTCTATTTTTAATAAAATTTTTGAGCGTCTCTACTTTTTTGGCCATGATTGTATTATTTGGTACTGCAGGTAACAGTTACATATGTATATATATATGACTTATACACAACTCTTATCTTTGGTAAATATTCTCTTTACAGGAATCGTACACCTTTATGCGATCCATTGTCAATAAATTTCACTGAACCATTTAAGTACGCTGTTCATTGCTTTCTTTGTTAATCACTTCTTTTTTTTTAATTTCAAATATACAAAAAGTTAAATTTTTTAGAAAATTTAAAAAAATATTAGTGAATGAAAATTTTCATTTAGAAAATGGAACTTCATCATTGACTATAGAACTCTAAATATTGCTTACAAACAGCTGCAAATACATGGAAACAATTTTTCAGGATTTTTTATTGGTGATATTGTGTCTCAAAGTAATGGTAAGAATTTATTATTGAGCTTTTAAACAATTAAAAAGTGATGCTTTTTTTGTAACAAAAACTGGGATATATGTTTTTATCATCAGTAAAAAATTTTATAATATGATGTATAGTATTTACCAGTGAGATCATTTATAAAAATGACAGATATCATTTTCTTCATTGTCAACAACATCTACGACATAATCAACAGAAGCCATTTTCTAGCTATTATAAAAACAAAGTTCAGTTTTAAAAATATGCATTTGTTAAATAGTTAGCAGAGTCTGGACTAGAAGTTGTACAAGTGTTTAAATAAGATAGTAAATTTAGCTATGGAAGCAAGAGTGATTTGGATGTCAAACAATTAGTTAACCTTTTTTTCAGGAAGAATGTAGTTTTAAAAAAATGAGTTAAAAGAAAAGTTGTTTGCTTTGCTTTAGACTTGGGAGTTAATTAGTTTAGACTAATGTATATGAAATGTAAAACTTGTCTTTGTTAACGACACTGTAATGCTGTTGCTTATTAAAAACACCATGATAAAAGAATATAAAAAAGACCGCTTTTAAAAAAGATGAGAAATTACTAAAAATATATATATATATATAATTAATAAAAATAACAAGCCTAATTGTTGTTTTATCATGTTTTATGATTTTCAATAATTCTAATACTTTGGCTAGGGTTGCAATTAGTTGCTAGTGTTATGTTCTAATACTTTTGGTTGCAATCACCTGTTTAAATCACCTGTTGCAAAAACCTGTTTAAATTGCTTTATTTATAAGTTAATTCAGTTTATAGACTTACTGCACTTATGATTAGAACAACTCAATTCCAAAAAGTCTTGTTATTTTTTTAGATCCTCTTTTAGTTCATGTTGATCGATTTGATCCTGGAAGAGATGGACAAGTAACAATTGGTATGATATAACAATTGGTTTAAATATATTGTTGTAAGTTTTTATTTTTAATGTAATTTTGTTTTTCTTATGTTTGTGTTTATTGCATTTGTACTTTTATTTTGTAATATATTAAAATCATATAGAATTTAAAATAATACATACCTTTTTTTAACATACCTTTCATTTGTTTATTTTTCAATTAATAAAACACATAAATAAATTTTAGAAGGTGTTTTTAAAAATGTTCGAGTGCCAACATCAACATTACCTGGAAACATATGCATTCCTGTTAATGTAAGAGTTTTTTTCAAAATATTTTCATTAGGGTATCCCAAAAAAAAATTTTAGATAAGTCTTAACCTCAAAAAATTTCCTATAGTTAAATTATGGAAACATACACAAATGTTGTTTAATTTGAGTTCAATTAGATGTGACCCATGAGCTCCAACTGTATTAAATACAGGGCATAACGCATGCTACAACATCCAATTCTTTGACAGCTATGTATAAACAATACACTTCAAAGTAAAAACATTGTGTCCTTAGTTATTTCTTGATTGTACCTATTATGTTTTAAAAAAGAGTAAGTTTTACTTGGTACTTAACATCATTTTGGTGATCTACTGTGAAATATTCTTGAGGAAATCTGTTCTTCAGCAAATTTATTAACAGGAACACAACCTAAAGGTTGCTCTTTCTGTAGCAGTGAATGTGTTAATTCTTTATGAATTTTCTTGGCACTCATGTACTGATTTCTTTTTGACAATCTCACTTCAACATTATCTTGGTGAGGAGTTGTTCATTTCAGCCTTCCTGACTTCAATGATAATTGATTCCGTTGTTGAAAAAATTTCAATGCATAGCTAACTGATAATTCTAGAATGTTCATCAAAATGGTATCTGTTGTTTCAATTTTCAAAAACTTTGGAGAACATTCACACCCCTTCAATTATTGTCTAATCAGTTTTCTTTCTGTTATTAGCAAAGTCTTTGATAAACAAGTTTCTCACCTTCCAACTTGAGTCAAATAATTTACTATTAGACAATCAATACAGTTTTCGATCCTCTTGCTTTGTGACTGAAAGATTTTGCAGTGCATTAGATGGAGGCAGAGAGGCTACGGCTATAGCTCTTGGCATATCTAAAGCTTTCAACAAAGTTTATCATGCTGATCTTCTCCATAAGCTTGCTTTATATGGTGTATCTGGGAAAGTTTTTGAGATTATTATATCATTTCTTTCTAAATGCTTTATTTATCCTCGAAGACTAAAACTCTTCTACATTCCCAGTAACTTCAGAGGTACCTCAAGGTTCTATCATTGGTCCTGTTTTATTTCTTATCTAAATTAATGAACTTCCTGACAACTTTACATCTAAAGTAGCTCTTTTTGCTGATGACTCAACTTTATACTTCTGTCTTGACAAAAAGTCTTCCTTTTTTTGATTGCTTAGAATAGGCAACCAATCTGATCTCACTTCTATAACAGATTGGGGCTTGCAGTGGCTTGTGAATTTTAATTCCAACAAAATTCAGCTCTCTACCATCTTCATGTTTTCCTGATCAATACAACCTACAAACTTTTCAAGTCTTTCACCAACCATTTCCATGCTCTAAACTCTATTCTTTTTTTTTTCTAGTATATTCCAACTTGATATTGCTTGCAGCCTTTTAAAAAAAAACTAAGTTTGTTGCTTCTGATGTCTACTCATTGAGTTAAATCATTTTGTTTTATAACCATTGAAAAGCCTAATTTAAACCCAATGTCTGCAGAATTGCATTGAAATAAAAAGTTGCAACAATTCTTATCCAAAAATATCAGTTGTCTTCAATAATGGTTCGCTGCCAGATAGATTAGCCATAGAAACCCAGGTTAATCATTTGCTAATACTGAAATTCAACTTGTGAAAATGGTACTAATACTGTAATTCAACTTGTGTAGACCATGAAATATATTTTTTTACAAAATAAAAATATATTTATATTAGTTTATAACAAAAGCTTTATTGAGCCAGAACTTTTAAATCATGAGGTTCACCAATTCATATTTGATTGGTCAGCAACATTGTTACTTATTTTTGCTGTTGCTACAGTCAACTAGAAGACATGTGTTAAAAAACAATGATGTTGTCATCATGTGAAATTTAAGATCACTGATGACCAATAATATCATGCTACAAAATTTGTTGAATTAGTCATTTTACTCAAAAATTATTTTAAATAGCTTATTGTAAAAAATGCTGTTGTATTTTCTTTTTGACAAAGTTTTGGATTTCAGTTTATTAACTTTGAAAGCCACATTGGCTTCCTCTAAATCAACGCATATAGATAATTTTTTTGATCGTTTTCATAATTTAATCTTCAATACCATTTAACAATTTAATTTCCAATAAAATTTTTTTTTTTTTTTGTGGAGGCAGTAAAATCAACATTTTTTTACCGCATAAATATATACTAATACTTTGTTTATTTTTTACTTTAGCTTTGTCACAAGTCATATAACAATTGTGAATCCACACAATTACATTCTTTTAAAGATTTTAAAGCATCAATATTAGTAAGATTAATAAATTTTTATATATTTTAAAATTTTTTTCTTTAAAAGCAGTTCTTGAAAATCAAAAAAAAAAAAAAAATTATTTCCCTTAACTTTTTTAAGTTTCTTTTTCATATTACTCATTATTTAATAGTTTTTTATTTATGTAAAATGTTCAACAATAATTTGAAACCTTTAGTTGTTAAAACCTTTCTATTGGGCTAACTAGCAACCTAGGCAAATGCAATTATTTTGCCAAAAAAAAAATGAAAAAAATGAAAATAACAAAATTACACAAGCATTCTAAGGCAATGTCATAATTTTTATTAATTCTGCTATCAAATCTATTTTTATTAATTCTGCTATCAAATTTAGATGTGATATCTTTGCATGATAACTGATGCTACATAACAAAATAAGTTTTAACCATTGTTTATAGCTATCTGAGGTCATAGTTTCTGTGATCTCACGCCACATTATTTTATAATGCAGATAATATATATATATATATATATATATATATAAAATTTATGAACTAAAAACCTCAGATATATTTTTAAAAAGCTGCTTTCATTTTAAAGCTTTTGATTAAATTCATTTTTTTGATCATAGCTTCTAGATTTGATCTAACCTAATTAGCTAATTAGTCCTTTCTAAGTGGAAATTATGCTTACAAAGATAATGTCTAAATAGAGATTTAATGTCTAAAATGTACTATCAACTGCTTGAATAATCCTCAATAAGAGTAAACAATTTTTTTTATAAAATATATTTCAAAAGTTTTCTTTATTTGTTTACAAAGAAACAACATTTTTAAAGTCCAAAAATAAAAATAATGACTCGTTATATTTTTAATATTTTTTTTTATTTTTTATTTTTATTTTTAGAATACTTTTTACTTTTTACATCTATTGATATATATTTTTTTTAATTTAGTCTATCAAAAGTTGGCTTTCTCGTAAAGAGAAACTCAATGCTTCCAACCTAGTTTCAATGAAAATGAAATGTTTATTCTTTTCTGAAGAGAACGAGGTTCAAGTTTTAATTTCATGTAAGTAATGAAATTTGTATAATTCATGTTGCTGCTAACACCTTTACCCTTGTTACTGTTACACCTGTATTAAACCTGTATTAGACCTGTATGGGCAACCAAAAAAATGTAAAAAAAAAAAAGAACTACATATTTTTGTAAAGTTTTACATCTTAATTGCAAGCAACTTCTACCACTAGTCTACTGCAATATAAAAGTCGACTAGTAAAATTTTTGTTTACAAAAAGCTTTATTATGATGCTATCTCAAATATTTTTTATGTTTTTAAATTAATTTATATTTAGGTGGTTGCATAACCAGTGCAGACACTTTTTCTGTTCAAAGTATAAGTTCAATACCAGTTATACAAACCGCTTTGGCTCGTAACTTATGTGGAACTTTGGGTGATAAGTATACACATGTGCAAACAGGGTAAAATTATGTCATATTTTTTTGGTAATAAATTATAAATACATTTTAACTTTAATGATAACAAAAAACATTTTATAATTAATTTATTAATTTTAGTTAATTTATTAATTTTAGTTCATTTATTTTTCTCCATTTTTTTTTTTTTTTTTTTTTTTTTTTTTTTTATTATTCTTGACTTTACTTTTCTAAATGTTTAATTCTTTAGATGATGTATGCCCATTTAAGCTTATTTCTATCTATCAACCAATGTATTAACTCATTAATGTATTTAGGTTATACTTAAGTAGATTATGCTAATAAAATTGAACATTATTATACATGTGTGTTTTGTTTCAGCCTGGCCTTTAGTAAGCAGAACAATACTTACAAGATTATAAACACTACATACTTATTACTATGTACAAACTTAAATAGATATAAATTCTATTTGAAAATTTTATTTTAATAAGAATTGAAGTAAAATCTCAAAGCAGAATAAATCACCAGCCACTTTCTAAAATGCTGATGTATTTTTTTGAAACCTTTAATAAATTTTTTGAATTTTATCATCAAATTTGTTATACCTGTAAAATTAAGTTCTGATAAAAAATGACTTTTTTTTAATAAAGAAGTGTTATGGAATTATATTTGAAAATCAAATATTCAATTGACTTGATTGGTTTTAAGTGTGTTATTTAATATTTTTTATAGATAAGTTCTGTTACTTTATCTACATAATAAATCTTATTTATCTGAACCGTTTTTTTTTTTTTTTGGTATTCACCTCCTCAAGGCCGAGTAGGCCACTACAGACGAGGAGGGTACTTAATAGTGGTTATAACCCTCAACTCTTTAACTCCGAAACACAAACCTTGACGAACAAGGCCGCTGCGCAAAGAAACAAGTTAAGCTGAGTTAAATTGTCGAAACAATTAAGTTAAATTGTCAAAAAAAAAAACAATCTACTCTAATTGCACTGATGTGGATATGTTTAATGTTCTTAATGATATGGAAAAAGCAATGTCTCATTGAGAGTAAAAGCTAATTTTTTTTTTTTTTTTTTTTTTTAAGTTGATTAAGGTGCCCCAAGAAGTCCTTACGGTCTTATCACAGAGCACTGCAGAAGAGCATTTGATGGGAAGTTTACGCCTCTTTCCCAACCGATGTCGCAAAACTTGCCCAGAGGTGGGGTTTGAACCACGGATCTGAGGCAAGTGCGCTACTGCGCCAAGGCTGCTAATAGATCTAACTTTCTAAGATTTACTTTATTTAAATGAACTTTCTTGAATAACCAAACATCTGAATAACCTTTTTTATCAAATTTGTTCAAATATTTGAGACAGTTTTCACGAAACCAAGTTAATGAGTATTCACTCAACTCTTAGTTATTAAAAAAATCGCATAGTATGATTTTATTAAAAGCTGACCTAACACCTACTACATATAGTATACATATATATAATTAAAGTAGTACATTATGTATAATTAAAGTATACATTATATATAATTAAAGTTTAAATGTTGGTAATTCAACATTTTTTGTTGCTAATTACTTTTTTAAACTTTTAAAGTTGTTTAAAAGTTAAAATTTTTAAATTTTGATTTCATTTTTTATTTTAATTACGTTTAAGTTTTAAATTATTTGAATTTAAAAAAGTATTATCAAAATTAAGAAAGTTATTTCACTTTTTTGTATCCTATATGCCTATTTTTATTAAAATTATAAAATGCACTTTATAGAGATGTGCTGGGTTCTTGGATTGTTCTTGTTTTCAAGAAATTTTCTTGGGTATAATCAAGGTACCTGGTCTATCTATATATTCCGAGTACCTGGAAAAAGTAAAATATTTGTTTGTAAACATGTTCTGGTTATGACATTGAACTAACTAATATTAAAGAACTTTAATTAAAAAAAAACAGTTTAATTGTGGATATGGGTAAGAGAAGCTTGCTTGAACTTGATAACAACCTCCTAGTGTTAGTAAAACAATAAAATTAATTTACTCTGCAAAACAGGTTAATACCAGTAAGTGCATGCTGTTTTAAAATAATTGTTTAAAAAAAATACATATCTTTTTTACATATTTAAAAGCACTGTTTAAGCATTATTAAGAACATGAAATTTTACCTTTTTAACAATTATTTCATCCCCTCCTCCTCCTGCCTTCTCCTCCTCCCTCCTCTCCTCCTCCCTCTGTTACTATGGGCAATAATAAGTTTTAAAATTGTAAAACATTTTTTAATCAGTCTTTTTAACATTAATTCAAGTCCTATATTATTTTTTTTTGTGCCTAAATTAAAGCTTAAATATTTGTCACCAAATTAACCTATTACAATAGTTGAATTTTTACTAAGTGTAACATATGTTCTTAATTATATTCAGCTTTATAACAATGGATCAAACACGCAAGCTTTTGCTTTTGGTAGAAACTGATCCTAAAGTTTATTTATTGCCTTTAGTTGGAGTGTAAGTTTATTTAGCTTTATATCAGATTTTTTTCGTTTATTGTTTTTTTTATAAAATTATTTAATGATTATACAATTAGTTAAAATTTAAAAAAAAAATTTAAACTTTTAGTTGGCTAAGTGGTGTGGATGTTACAGATCATTTAGTATTGGCCTCAATTTTAAGATTTATTTACAACAAGCATATTGTAGAAAGGCAAGTTTATACTTTTTTTTTTTTTTTTTTTTTTGAAAATAAATTTAAAAACCTGTTTTAAAAAAATATTATTCTGCTTATTACTTCAGATAAAATCTGTAATTTAAGTTGAGAAAACTTTGCATTTAGTTTTGGGTTTGTACTTAAAGAGTGCTTGAAAATTTTGGGATTTTTAGATTCCCGCTTTAATAAGTTTATTTAAAAATAAAATAGTTTACAAATACTAAAATGCTATACATTTTTACCATACTAAAAATCTATGCAGATAGCTTTAGATTAGAATGTTTACTTTGTTTTATCTTACAAAAAGCTTTTGCTAAACTTTTAGGATATTGAAAAAACTATAGAGATAATTAAAAAATATAATCAAATCTTCATTCTTGAATACAAGTTGTATTGTTTGAAAGAAGCTTTTTAAAAATAAATATAATTGGTGCTATTAGTAATTTAAAAGACAAGATAAATTCTTCTAAATGAATCATTATTGCAAAAAAGTTCATAAAAGAAATATTTTAATTTAATGATTTGTGGCAGTTAGCCCAACATACTACTGAATAATATCAGACAACACATAACAACAACAATTTGCGCTAACATTTTTGCAAACAATTAAAAAAGTAAATGAATTATAGGGTATGATATAATAATTATGATATAATTTGAATAAATCTTTTTTTTTAACCATTAAAATATATAATTTTATTGGTTCATTTAAAGAAGTAAACGAAGAAAAAAAAGTGTTTTTTTCACAATGTGCAGTGTCATAAGTTGATCCTCACATTGACAAAATTTCAATTTAAATTGAACTTTAAATTACAACCTTGTCTGTGTTTTCAAAATATGGTTCTAATGATGAAGCGAAAAGCAAAAATCAAAAATAAACTATTCTGCAAAAATCAAAATTTTGAATTAGTTTTTGTATAACTTTTGAAGAATACTTTGTTCATGAATATGGATGAATACTCTTAAAAGACACAATGTTCATGAATATGGATGCTATTGATATATAATGATTTGTTGTTTTATTTTTTTTTTGATGAACTTAAATCATAATAAAAGTTCTAATATTTTTTTACATTGTTTTTAATTGGTAAAAGTTTTAATGTTGTTTATTTTAAAATATCTTTGTGTCATATTTTTATATTCTTTTTAGAGTCAGTGTTCCTACATGTACCTACCTTTTGGTTTTGTTTCCAGCTCATTCTGTTGAACCAAAATTCTTTGAGTTTTTTCAAGTAATTTTTATTGATTTTATTTTTATATATATTATTTTTTAACTTTAGTGTCTTTTTTTATCTTTATTAATTTTTTCAAATTGTTAATCAAGGTTTAGAGAATTTTGTAAACCTGAAATAAATAAAAAGTATGAAAAAAAGATGCTAACTTAATTTTACTAAAAAAATTGTCTGCAAATTTTTAAGAAATGAAGACTTAGACAAACTGTATTTTAAAATTTATACTTTAAAAATTAAAACAAAGAAAACATTTCTAAATCTCTTTACAGTACAAGAAAACATCTCAAAACCTTGAGAACGAGTAAACATCTCTAAACCTCTTTTCTGTATGAGTAAACATCTCTAAACCTCTTTCCTGAATGAGAAAACATCTTTAAACCCCTTTCTTGTACAAGAAATTTGTTTTTTGAAAATGAATTTCAAATTTTAACAAAGTTTTTTTTAAATTTGTATATATATGTACAAGAAAAAATTAAAGAAAAGATGCATATGTGATTGAAGAAAGTTTATTGTAGGAACGCTATGATTTAATTAAAAGTTATTTTTTATGTATTTAGGTAAATGCTGGAAATACATTTCAATTGTTGGAGTTTTTTGAAAATGTTAAAATTGAGGTAACTTATTTACAGCAATACTACTGTTATGACTATATATATATATATATATATATATATATATATATATATATATATATATATATATATATATATATATATATATATATATATATATATATATATATATATATAGTATTGTGTTAGAAGTACAACTCTTGTTTGCTTAAGAGTGTAATAATATAAATAAAAAAAATAATATAGATGAAAAAATACAACTTTATTATTGAACTCTAAGTTTCATGCCATATAATTGTAGATACATATAATATTAGATAATAAACATATCATAGCAAGTTAAATTATAATCATGCTAGTTCTAACAATCCACCATTTTAAAACAATTACCAACCTCAATTAAACAAATTATCTGCCAATTCTTCAAGTCAAAATTTATTTTAAAAGACTGCTCCTATTCATAAAGATGCATTAGAAAAGTATTTTGCAACAATCTCCATTATCATTCAAATCTAAACCCTTATCTCCATTATCATTCAAATCTAAACCCTAAAATTAAAACATTCCTAATACTAATAAACAAAAAGGAAGTATTTTATAGTTTAATCTTCTTTTAAGCGAAAAACTTTTTCTTAAATTTAATTGACTTGCATTTACCATTACATCATAAGCTGCACAAAATTTTTAACAGAAATACAATAAAAGTTACAGCTGCATGCCAAAGATTTGATCTTTTATTAATTTAAACAACTAACAAATTTCGTGCAACTAACTTAACTATAGCAAACTGCTATTGCATTAAGAAAACCACATGTCCATTAAATAACCTATTATAAATAATCTTTTATAACTGTCATAAAATATTGTATGTAAAACCACTGAAACATTAGGTAATCCCAGTCTTATCTTATATTGGTATTAGTGAGAACACATTCAAGCTTAGGTTTTCAAACCACCTGAAATTCTTTAATGCAACTAGGCACAAAAATGATAAAGAATTTTTTAAAGAAATCTTGGAACATAAAGATGCAGATAACATGCCTATAATCAAATGCAGGCTGAAATTTTATTGCGTAATGGAAAAGCGTAACATAAGTAAATGTAACTTTACTCAATAAACATATTTACATGGTTGAAAGTTGAATTACATCAGTTGCGTATTTTAAAGTACTGCATTGAAATTTAATTTAATTTGAAACCACATTAAATATTTAAGTCTTTATCTTTATAAGTTATCTTTATAAATTAAACCAATTAAATTAAATTAACTGTTATAAAAATCAATAAAAATTATCAATAAAATTTAAATGTTTAAAAAAAATACATATTTTCTCATTTTAAAAAACTTATACTTATTTTGACTTATACTATTTATTTCTTAAAGCATTGATCTTATGTTTGCTTTCTTAAAACATTCATCTTATGTTTGCTTTCTTACAATTTAGTTTTTTTGTTTATGGTTGAATTCTTCAACTGTCAAAAAAACAACAATCAACATTTTTTTTTTTTTTTAACATTTCCGCTTAAACAAAAAATCTTAGCATACTACTACTCATATACATCCTACTCATCTAGTTAATCATTTTTAATCGAGATTTATTCTATGATCAATCAAAGTTATTAAGAAAGAAAGAAACTTTTGTTACAAAGTAATTCCAAAACTAAAAAAAAATCATATTTTCATAAATTTGTTGCATAATGTTTACTTGAAAAAAATTCCTTAAAACAATTTTTCCTACAGGCTCGATTATGGTTTAAATACAGTTATAAGTGCATTAAGCACTTTTGTATATTAGCACTTTCCTAATGGGTTGAAAAAAATTTATTAATTTTAAACTATAAATAAATAAACAAAATAGTTGAATATAAAATGAACATTTTAAAGTAGCTTGAATTGAAGTTATTAAAAAGAATCTTTTTTTTCTTATACATAATTTGGAAATTAAACCAGTAAAAAAAAATTGTAAAATGGGGCATTTTGATTTTTTTTTTTTTTTAATTGAACTTAGATTGAATAGAATATTTTTAAATTTTTATCATTTTATAATAAATTTAATAAAAATATAATAAAATAAATTAAATAAAATTTTTAACAAATTGAAAGCAAAAAAAAATTTACTTAACTATCTGTTTTTTTTATTTAAAAAAAAGTTAGTTTACAGTTACAATTAAAAAATTTTTTTATGACAATTAATTATTGCTTAATGTTTTCCGCATAAACTATTTTGAAAGACAGTTTAAATAATCTAATTGAAAAAATGTTTTGGTGTAGCGTAAATGGCTTATTGTGTAGATGAAATTCCCATTTCATATGTGAAATTCAAATTGAGTAACGCTTCTTAACAATTCAGGCTGTCAAGTTGTCATTTTTTTAAATTTCGTCTGGGTCTTTTTTTTTCAGCTGCAGAAGCTATATGGCTGTTTAAAGTAATTGATGTTGCTTTAAAACATTGTGATAATACATCATTGTTATTTCAAAGAATGTTTTCAGATAGTAAAGCAAGTCAAGGTTTAAGTATGAGTAGACAAAAAGCTTTATATATATTTCAAGATGGTCTTGGACCTTTGTTAGAAAAATGCCTGTGTTCTAGTAATCAATAAGTTAAGGTGCTTTTACTTTAATGTTTGATAAAACAACTACAGTACAGCATTAAAACAAATGGATCTTCTATGTCGTTTTTGGTCAGAAGAAGAGAACCAAGTTGTTACAAAATATTTTAAAATCGCTGTTCTTTGGCAGAGCAATAGCAGAAGATGTCAAAAAATGCTTGAACATCATAATGAAAGATTTGGTTTAACTTCCACTTGATTTGCAGGTATTAAAAGATTTGACAATGTTCTTGTCAAGTAAACAAAAGTTTGCTTGACAAGGAATATGAAAAAACTAAGTATCTGTATCTCAGTAATATTCTTTAAGCTGTTTATATAATATTCTTATAGAGCTAGTAATATTCTTTAGAGCTGTTTAGTAATATTTTTTTGGGGTTGTTTAACTATTCAGAATGGAAATGCTAGTGCAGAAAGTTTATTAGATAATATACATTGACTTTAGAGCAAGTAAACCTAAATTATAAAACATTAATGGCTCTGAGAATATCAAAGGAATACACAAGTAGTTGCAATGCAGCATAGTCAGGGTTGATTCTCTCTCTAAAAACTTTGTTCAAGCAGTGCAAAATGCTCACAGAATATATAAAAAAAGAAAAGCTGAGGAAGAAGAAAAAAATATATAATTTATATTCATAAGCAAGAACTTATTGACAAAGAAAAATAACATGAGGATATGCTAAGTTCAAAAAAATAACAAAAATCTAGATTAAAGGGAAAAAATATCTTGAAAATGAGAAGAAAAATGCAAATCTAGAGTTTCAACTCAGAGAATGCTGGATGAAGCGACCAAGTCTATGCAAAGTGTCATCCATAAAGAAGACATGATAGAAATAAATTTTTTGTAAACATTGTGAAAAATAATCTTAAAAATTTTTTTTTTTAATTTTTTTTTTATTTTCACCTCCTCAAGGCTGAGAAGGCCACTACAGACGAGGAGGCTACTTATTTTGTGGCTATAACCCTCTCTCAACTCTATAACTCCGAAACACGAACCTTGACGAACAAGGCTGCTGCGCGGAGAAACGAGTTGAGCCCAGTACTACCAGGGGCGTGGTGGGAATCAAACTCGGAACCACTCGTTTATGAAGCGAAGGCTCTACCACTACACCACTACCGCAATATCAAAAAATATCAAAGGAATACACAAGTAGTTGCAATGCAGCATAGTCAGGCTTGATTCTCTCTCTAAAAACTTTGTTGAGGCAGTGCAAAATGCTACTGCACATAAAAATAAACAAAAAAAGTTAAAAATAAATATTAGGAGTAAATATTAGTTAAACAAAAAAGTGAAATGCATAGTTTATTTAATTGTTTTAAAAAATCAAAATAGTATTTTTTAATTAACTTTTTTTTAATTAATTTGAACCTTATTTGGTGTTGCAAGTTGTTTGGTGTTTTCTCAATTCTATAATTTTATTTTATATTATTTTTGACATTTTTGATGACTTTATGTTATTTGACTGATATATAATTTTTTTAAATAGTTGTTAAACTTTGCCATTCTTTGCCATTTTCCCCCTTCAAAATGCCTTTTTTATTTTTTATTTTTTTATAAAGTTGTTGTTTGACAACCTGACAATGCCTCAAGTCAAACATAATTAAAAGATGCCAATTGTACAACCCATCCACAAAAAAAATGTAGCATTTGTCATTATGAAAAATATTTTATTATGACTTTTGATCATGGATCACTACCAGGGATGCGGAGTCCTAAAAGGACTCCTGCTTTATATCTTCATTTTTTTCAGTGTCTAGAAGCTCTAAACATGTTTGTTGACTTATGATCTGCATTATAAGAAAAAAATTCATGAGATATAATGACTTGGAACTTATTGTTTTTAAGCCCGGGGTCCTTGAGTCCTTGTCGCCATTATACCTAAGGATTTTGGGTTAAAAAAATAATTGTTCCTCCAATTTTTTTTTTTTCCTATTAGTAGTCCAACAATTTTTTTATATTTCTAGAGCTCCTGGATACCAAAAACTAGGAAGAAGTAATCTTTTTGTGACTTTAAAATCCAGTGCACTTTAAAATGCATAGTCTTTTTTGGCATCCCTGATCACTACTAAACACAAAAATTTTGTTGAACTTTTGTTGGCCATTAGCAAATACTGTATCAAGTAAATTTAACATCAGATGTCGTTGCAATGCTTAACTTGTATTTTATATCACTGTTTTAATTTTATCTTTTTAAAAACATGGCTGATGATTGCTAAATGCATAAAACTTAGAGTTTCCTAATAAAGTTGTATTTTTTTCATTTAAACTTTTTAAATATATATATATATTTATATATATATATATATATATATATATATATATATATATATATATATATATATATATATATATATATATATATATATATATATATATATATGTATATATAAAAAAGCATGATAAAGAGATGTGACCAGCAGATGCTAGTTTTGCGACAGATTTGATATATGGTTTCCAAGAAAGATTGGAGGTATTAAGTATTTGTTAATTAAAGACTCAAAATCCTTGCTTAGAATAGGAAGAAGACTAATGGGAGGATCGTTAGAAAGTCAGATTCTCTCCAGAATTTTTGAAAATAGGGATAACAGATGCTGCTTTCCAGCAGACTGGAAAACAAGACTCTGAAAAGCACTTAATAAATAGTTTTGAAAGTATAGATGACAGTTCCAGAGAACACTTCTGCAAGACTACAACACATATGTTGTCTGGACCACAACCTGTAGAAGAGTCTAAGCAGGAAATCACTTTAGATACAGAAGATGGAGTTATGCAAATGTCAAGAAATGGATCAACCTGCTTGTCGGCCATATCAAATAGGATGTTGTTATTGGAATCAAGAGATGAGATATATATGTTTATATATGTATATATATATATATATATATATATATATATATATATATATATATATATATATATATATATATATATATATATATATATATATATATTGAGTTGAATATAAGATAAGTTATGCCATACAATTTATAAGTTAGAATTGAATATAATTTTTTTTTTTTTATGTAAATTCACCTTTCCAAGGCTGTGAAGGCCACTACAGACAAGGAAGCTACTTAATTGTGGTTATAACCCTCTTTCAACTCTATAACTTCGAAACATGAACCTTGACTAACAAGGCCGCTATGCTGATAAACAAGTTAAGGGCGGTATTACCTGTTTATTATAAATTATATATGGTTTACTTGGTATATGGTATTAGAATTTATTTATACATGTATATTACAAATTATTTATACATATATATTACAAATTATATATAGTATACATGGTACATGGTAATTACAAATTATGGTATATGGTATACATAATACATGGTATTACAAATTATACCATAAAATGAATAAGTTTTAATTAAATATATAATAGTGGTTTTAAATAAAAGTTAAGTTATAATTGAGATAAATATAAGATAAGTTATAATTAAAACATTTAGAGACATTAGTGTGAATAGAACTGTAAGTAAAAGTATATTATGCAAAAGATTATTATTGAAAATGAAGAAATTATTTATGGCTGAAGCTTTTCATTATATTTTAACTGAACAAATGTAGTATTTTAACTATATATGTAAATTTTTTCTATTAGTTTTTAAATGTTGTAATTTTTACTTCTTTATTTTTCATTGATTTTTTTGTTTTTAATTTGTAAAACCAAATGTTTTTCATTTAAAGCTACATAAAAACACAACAGAGAGTGAATATCATTTTGAGTTGAAATTATCGAAAAGTGGTTTGGATGCAGAAAACTTATCAGAAGCACTATCAGACTTTAATGCTGTCACAGAAGATGCAGAAGAGAAGTATGTAAAGTTAGTGAAGTTTGATTTGCAATAGTTGTAAAAATGTTGTGCAATTTATCTTGAAAACATTATTTGGGTAAGTTGTTCACATTATCAACGATTGTACAACAAAATTTATGATGTAAAAACAGTTGTTAGGGAAATAGAAAGAAATTAATTTCTGCAACAATTGTTGTGCAATAATAATGCACCAGCTGTTGTTCAATATTTTTTTACAACTATTGAAAAACAAGCTTTAATAATATCATTACTGACATTACTTAGTGTCACCAATGCTAACATTATTTAATGATTTCATACTGAAATTATTTTGGTGTCATTATTATGAACATAACTAATATCATTGTTACTGGCAATTAAAAAAAATTATTTCTTAAATTTATAGTATGGTTGGTAAATTGCATCAAAATTGTTCTTTGGATGATTCATTACCTTCTTTATCTCCTGTTCCTCATATTTTACAGGTATTATTATGTTATACATAGTAGATGTTTATTTATGTATTAATATAAATAATATTCATATATATTTTATATATGGATGTTTATTTAGATAATAATATAGATAATATACATATATATATATATATATATATATATATATATATATATATATATATATATATATATATATATATATACATAACATGAACAATTCATACCTAAAGAGTTTATCTTAATATGATTCTTTATGTAATATTTTTAAACTAATAAATAATAATTCAATTCCAAAGGTAAAAAGTTTAAACTCACTTGATAGATCTTTCTTTTTTGATAACGTGCTCTTTCAAGTTTAGAAAAGCCTAGTAACTAATTAAAACTGCTTTAAAAACGAAACCAAAACAACACTGAACATTGAACATTGACTGTAGCAATTATATTAAGATATTATACATATATATTTTATATATGGATGTTTATTTAGATAATAATATAGATAATATACATATATACATATACGTAACATAAACAGTTCATACCTTAGGCCGCAATTTCTTAATATACTTTTTGCATTCATTTTTGTAATATGCACTTAAATTCTTCAGAAAAAGAAGAAAAATATATAGCAAAGTATAAAATTTATCAGAACCCAGCCAAAACTTTTCTTATAGATTTTACCCCTACAATGACTTGTGTAAAGTTTTATTTTTCTAGCACAATTTTAATGCCCAACCCCCATTCCTTTCTTGAGGCACAAAATTTTTTTATATAGCACATATTATTATTTGCTCTTAAATCAACAAAAATGATGTTTTCATTATACAAAAATTTTTAAAAGGTTTCAAAAGAAAGGAAGGATCCAGAACATTTTTCAAGTTCTAATAAGGTTTCCAAAATACTTTGGAATGTTTCATTATAATGTATAAGATTTTAAAAGTTTCTACTTTATTTAAGGCAGATCAAAAATATTGACGCTTGTTCAAGAGCATTATGGAAGATTACCGAGCATTCTAAAACTTATCAGAACATTCTGAAACCTTTCAGAATATTTGGTTCTGAAAAGGCAAGAATATTCTGAAATGTTATGGAAGATGCTAGAATGTATTGGAAAGAAATAAAATATTATGGAAAAATTCTGAAAACTCTTTAATCCTGAAATATGTTTTTAAAGGTTCTAGAAGAATCACAATTTGAAAAGTTTTTGAAGGTTCCTATGGTGTATGTAAGGTAACAGTATGTGAAGTTTACAAATCTTTTAGACCAAAATAGGTGAAAAATTTACTGCTTATAAATCAAGTAAAGCAAAAAAAACACAATATTAGTCTTATACATAAAGAAAGTGTACAGAAAAATGGTTTCTTTGTCATTCAATTGAAAAGTATTCTGGAAACATTCCTCTATCCTACCCTTTTAAGACTGTTTTACAATCAAGATTTTTCTCCTGGAGTCAGAAACATTTTTATCTCAACTATTGCTTAGCAATTAGCAGTTGAGGCAAAAGCTATATACAATAAAGTTCTGTTGAAACTTATAAAATAGTATAATGCTTATGAATAAGTTCTTTTTTAATTCTAATTAATTTGCATAATTCATTGTAATAATTCTGCATTATTCTAAGTAATGTAGACAAGCTTTTTTACATTGTTACTTTTAGGATTGATTTGGGTCCAAGTGTTAACTTGGGCAGCTGCAGAAGAGTCTTTCTGATGGAGGTGATAAACCTGGAATGATATTTTCCTAACTATGGATGCCAACTTTGGATATTTTGTTGCCATAAACAATATAGCCCATCAAATTAAAAAAATTGAAATAAAAAAATTCAATTCAGTCATGAAGTGGACCAAGCAAAAAATGTTTGAATTGTAAAAAAGAAATATTTCAGAAAGAAAAAATCAAAACAACATTTTTAAAAAACAGAACAAGTATAAACAAGAACAAAAGAAACTTATGTTAGAAACGAAAGCATTGTTTTGGACTGTTCAAAGAACAAGTACAGTAACCAATAGTTACCAGAAATTTTCTGTAAAATCTCCCAATACAAATATTGTATTGAATTGTTAAATACAAAGCTATTCTTCTTGTTTTGCTTCTTCAAAATTGAGAAAGATGCCTTAAAAATATATTCCCAGTATTGGGTGTTTTAAAATACAAAGAAAGAAAATTAAAGAAAATCTCTTAAAAATATCAATAGAGATATCTCTCAATACAGGATGATGTTTTTAAGTTAACTGAAGGGGAGTTATCATATCCATGGAGTTATCATATCCATGGAGTTATCATATCCATGGAGTTATCATATCCATGGAGTTATCATATCCATGGAGTTATCATATCCATGGAGTTATCATATCCATGGAGTTATCATATCCATGGAGTTATCATATCCATGGAGTTATCATATCCATGGAGTTATCATATCCATGGAGTTATCATATCCATGGAGTTATCATATCCATGGAGCTATCATATCCATGGAGTTATCATATCCATGGAGTTATCATATCCATGGAGTTATCATATCCATGGAGTTATCATATCCATGGAGTTATCATATCCATGGAGCAAACATATTTTGAATCTTCCATAGTTGTTAAAGTTAAAAAAAAATCAACAAAATACAAGAATTTGCTTTAGTTTATATTTTATGTCAACCAATTCTTCAAATAAAAGTATTTTTAAACAATTTATTTCTCTTAATCAAGATTCATTAATTTAATCTGTTTCTTTTTTCAAATTTGCTTTCTGTTCCAATAAAACACTGGACCCATTCAAAAACTACAATTTTAGTACCCAGTTTGAAGACACCTTGCTAATGACAAGAATTTATGATCATATTTTTGTTGTTTTTGTTTAATGTTTAATTATGTTCATGTAAGTGGAAAACAAATAAAAGCATTCATCTTTTAAAACAGAATGTTGAATAAGTTGGTACTTGCTATGATACATCAACAGTTATCTTTAGATACATTTTAAGCACTGCAATTGTCATAGCAATTTAAAACTACCTTATTATAATATAATATAATAGAAAGCTGTAGTAGTTTTAAAACTACAAGTGAAGTTAATAGTAATTAATTTAACTTTGACAGCATATACATTGTGTAGTTATTCTAGGTAAATAAATTAAATTATAAATTACAAATCATGTAGCTCTAGATATTTATCAATGCAATTTTTAAATAAGTTCAAGCTTTCATTTTTGATGATAAAATCTGGTAGTTTGTTCCACATTGATGAGACTCTATTAGTTAAAAATTGATAAAGAATATTGCAGTTTTTAATTATTTCTCTTCTGATTTTGAAGTTATGGCCTCTTGTGTTGGGCTGATATGAGGCAAAAATATTACAATCTAGTTCTACAATATTTATTTTTTTAAGTAGTTTGTACATTAGAATTAAATTGCATCTTTTACGTCTTTTTTCCAGTGTGTTTAAGCCAAGTATTTAAATTCATGTTTTGTAATTTTGTTTTTGAATCTGGGATATCCAAGTAGTGGCTTAACATTGAACTTTTTCAAGTGCAATAATATCACTTTTAATGTATGGGCACCATGCCTGTATCGCAAATTCAAGATGGGGTCTTATAAATGTTATGTATAGTATAAAAAAATATTTAACATTCCAAATGCTGAATAAGCTTTTGATGTACAATTGGTTATGTACCATTTGAGATTTGATAACATTGTAACTGCAAAATCTTTTTCGGTATCAGATACTGCTAATATTTTGTCGCCTAGTTTAAATATATATTTAAAAATATAAGGTTATTTTTTCCAAAGTGCATAATACAACATTTTTCACTATTAAATTGTGATTGCCAGATCTCTGACCATTCACAGGCTTGATTAGTTTCATTTTGAAGAAATTGGCAATTCTCAGAGCTAGCTACTTTCCTAATTAACTAGGTGTCATCTGCAAAGACCTTGGGTGGTCTAGAATCTCTGGTAAATCGTTGTTAAGTAAAATGAACAAGATTGGAGAAATTACCGATCCTTGGGGAACACTGCTTGTTATCAGTTCCCAGTTTGATGCCTCATTGCCTTGTATCACTCTTTGGTGTCAATTAGATAAAAAATCGCTAATCCAGTTACAAATGACATTTGATATTCTATATGACTTAAATTTGATTAATAATGGTTCATGAGGTACCGTATTGAATGCTTTAGTAAAGTCAAGGTAACAAATATCTACTGCAATGTTTTCCGCTAGCGATTTACTCAAAAATTAATTAGATTTGTTAAACAAGATTTCCCCTTTACAAATCCATGTTGATGTTTATTTAATAAACTACTATTTGGCATATGTTTATATATTGTGTTGGATATAATACTTTCAAGTACTTTAGAGACTATTGAGGTTAATGAATATTACTCAATTTGCTTGCAGGCATCATTTCCATGACATCGTAATCAAAGAGGTATGTGAGTTGTTGTTTAGAAAAGATTGGTTGCCGGATTTTTCATTGTACAAAAGCATGCAAATTAAGTGGGATAAGGTTATCAAGACATGTAGAAGAGGGTTTGCTCCATTTTTTGCTTTCTGAAAATCAACCTTCTGTGCACAAATGGCACAGCAGAGAAGTAGAACAGCAGCAAAATTTGTGTGGTGATTCCAGTAAAGAATCAGTATTTAATCAAAAGTTATTTATTTTCCTCCAGAAAATTTTTTTCAGAATAAAAATATTGCATTGAGACTAGGGTTATATAAATATTTTTTTTTATTTTTACAGAAAATTTGGAGATAAAGAAAATGTATTCATTGGAATGTGAAGAATAGGCTTTTTGATTTTGAAAATTATTGCTTCAATAAATAATCGAAAAAAACTATTATTAAACATGATAATGTTTAGTTATAGTTCTTCTGAATGGTATATTTGCATTAACATTTTTTTTTTTAAATGAAAGAATTTTTTTGGTAAATCTAATCAGATATATGTAAAAAAAAATACTAAAAAACTAAAATTTTAGGTGCTGTGGGGAGGGGAGAATTAGAGTTGTGATAAAAAAAATAAAGTTTCACACTAGTCATCACAAGGCTAAAAAATTTATATTCGTCCTGTTTCTGAGCAATACATAAAGTTGTTCAAAAAAACAGTTTTTTGAACAACTTTAGTATACATTCTTAATATGGTGGTTCTTAAAAAATCATTTTTGAGAACTGTCTGCTGGCACCCCTTTATTGTGTTCTATATAGTAATGTAACACTTAATTTAAAATTTTTTGAATAAAAAATATTTTTAGTTGTTGCTACAGACCCTTCAACATTAAACAAGTCCCTAATATTATTAAAAAAATTTTTTTTTTTTTATAAGTTATAAAAATTTCAAAAATATTTATCATTTCATACAAAAAAACATTTAAAAAAAATCTATTATCAAAAAAATATTGTAAAAATGCTCTTTTTTCATTTCGTGTTGAAAATTCTCATTTTTTATGGAATAAAATCTAAAATAATAATTTTTTTATAAAATTATTTTTAAAACTTTTATATAATTTCACTTCATTTAAGAGCTTTTTCAAAAATACTATTTTAATAGCCGCCCTATTTCATACATGCTAATATAAATGATTTCTGATCAATTGCTAAGTAACTAATGTTCCAAAGGTTGGAAATGAGTTTTATAAAGTTTGAAAACTATTTTTAGAATTTGAATTTGCTCCGAGAAGTTTAATCTGAAGAGTTATTTTACATTTAGTGTAAAATCTAAGATTTTTTAAGTTAAAGTTATGAAAACTTACGCTTTTGAATGTTCTTGAAACCAAAAGTCATTTTGAATCTCTAATCTTTGACACTTAATGATTATTTTTAGTTTATATGATCACATAGCCTTAAAAAGTAAAAATAGTTGCATTGTTTTAATAGCTACATAATTTTTAAACTAGGATTTAATATTCCCTTTAATTTTTTTCAAATATATCTATGTTTATTTTTATGATATATCTAATAGTCTTATGTTATTTGTCTTTGAAAATGTTTTAATTACTTTTACATTGATAATTTTTATAGATCAAGCAATCAGTTACACCTTCAGTACCAGATCTCTCCCTTTGTGATTCATCTGTAAATGAAGAACATAAAAATGAAACTCCAGAAAATAACCCAAGTACACTTGAATCTCAACCCACCTGTGATAAAAGTTTTATTGATAAAAGGCTGAACATGCTTCCTCGTCAGACAAAAGCCAGTTTAGCTCGGATTAGCATGAGTAAAAATCCTAAAGCTGTTAGCAAGATGGCTACAGATAAAAAGCATAATTTAGCTATTAAGTTCAAAAATATAGATCCAAAGAAAAATGAAACAATAAATTTGCATGTTCAAAAAAACAAAGTTTTAGAAGCAGATACATCAGTATTACAGCATGACGATTCTGTAAAGCTTCCTCCTAACTTTTTTAATAACACGTCACACAAAACTAAAAATATTGAACATTCATCAAGTTTACCTTCTCTTAACATTCTAGATAAAACAACATTCACTACAACACCATACACTACAACACCATACACTACAACACATACATCTTCTCTTAATACTTTAGATAAAACAACATATGCTACAACACCATACACAGGCAAAAATGTGGAATATACATCAAAAAACTATGTGAACTTGGAAGATGATAAAAGTTTTATTTTTGATGATAAAAATAAAAGTTTTGCAGAGCCAAAAAATATAAATAAAAATTTCTCTCAAAATGAAGGATTCCAAGATCCAAAATATTTTGCAGATTCTAATTCAGATGATAGATCTCAAAATAAGTTCAAAACACAAAGTATTACTCAAGATTTGAATTCTAAAAATAACTCTTTGATTGATGATAAAAATATACCTGATTATTTGAATTATCATAATGGTTATAAACAAGACAATGATTTACTACTAGAGTTAGTTATATCGCAACAAAAACAGTTGGCTGATTTGCAGTCACAGGTAGGTGTCAATGTTCAGGTAGGTGTCAATGTTCAGGTAGGTGTCAATGTTCAGGTAGGTGTCAATGTTTTGATGTTTGATTATATCAACAAATATCTTAATGCACTTATGCATTTCTATGGAATGTTACAGGTCTTGGTAATATGTTATAATACAGGTCTTGGTAAGTCTGTTCCATACCATTCCTTTCTATATTTATACTCTTCAAAATAATTGTTAAAAATTAAAGTAAATAAATTTATAAATTTATTTACAATTAGCAAAACATTGTTTTTTACAAAAAGAAACAAAATAACTTTTTAGCAATTAAAAAAGCATAAGTTGTTAAGAAAACGGAACAAAATATACCTTATTAACAAAATTTATATACCAATAAAACAATACAAAAATTTTTATTTATAAAAAAAAATATTTTTTTAAAACTAAACACCATTAAACAAAAAAAATAATTTTGTTATATACAATTACTATATCTAAAATGAAAAAAAAAAAATATGTAATAAAAGAAGTAAAAACATACTAATATACCTGTTGATGTTTTTTCTTGATGTTTTTTCTAGATGTTTTTTCTTGATGTTTTTTCTTGATGTTTTTTCTTGATGTTTTTTCTTGATGTTTTTTCTTGATGTTTTTTCTTGATGTTTTTTCTTGATGTTTTTTCTTGATGTTTTTTCTTGATGTTTTTTCTTGATGTTTTTTCTTGATGTTTTTTCTTGATGTTTTTTCTTGATGTTTTTTCTTGATGTTTTTTCTTGATGTTTTTTCTTGATGTTTTTTCTTGATGTTTTTTCTTGATGTTTTTTCTTGATGTTTTTTCTTGATGTTTTTTCTTGATGTTTTTTGAGCTTATTTAAAATAAATCATAATCTGTTAGAAAAAAATTTATTGCAAAAACAATTAGCTGTTTCACAAAAAAAAAAAAAACATAATACTTATCGGTGTAAACAAGTTTTGTGATTTGACCAGTAAATAAAATTATTTAAAACTTAAAAAAATTTAAAATTAATTACCTTGATTGCAACAAACTAATTTCTTTTTAAACTATTAGCTAATGATTAACATAGTAAATTTTAAATTAAAGTTTACTAAGTTAAAACCATATTTTAACAGTGAGCAAAGTAAACTTATGATAGTTGGTAGAGCACCGAAATAGAACTAAAGAAATAAAAAAATAACTAAGTTTAAAATGTTTGTAATATATATTATTTTCAATTAAACATGAACTCTACCATCATGAGATAATAAAGATAAAATAATCAAAACAAACAACAACAACAAAATAATTAAAAAAAAAGAATATAATAAAATGTTTATTTTTAGCAACAATCCTTTTAATTAAAAACATTAGTATTTTCATGAACAGAACCGGATACATCGATAAAGAACATACTTGGTGAAAAATTGATTTTTATATTCCTTTACAAACTCCTCCCACTTAACTTTTGGTAAAGGTAATCTCTAGGCCCACACCCTAAGTACACTAAAGGATGTGGGGTCTTATTATTATCTCAAATAGTGTACAAACACTTCATAAGATAAGCGTAAAAATAACAAAAGTAACAATTGAAATGGCTGGATGATATTTTAGTTTCATACTTAATTATAAAACCTACAAATCATTTATTTACCACTTACAAATAAGGCTGTTGCAGCAGCTATTGTTGCTGGGATTACTTAAACTTAATTGGCTATAATAAATAACAAAACATACAGGTAATCAAATTGAAAATTAAAAACAATTTAAAGCAATCATTCTATAAGTAAAATATCTCATAAAATAGAATAATACAATCATATTAAAGAAAATATAATTTTTTTTTTAATCAGTTTTAAAGACGAAAATAAACGAGAAATTAAAAGCTACAATATGTGATAAACTGTAGTGCTAAAAATAAAATAACAAACAAAATGTTATTTAATTCTAAACACTTAGAACAAAAAAATTGTTGAATTAGAAAGTAAAAATTAAACAAATCTAACTTTTTTAAGAAATAAATTTCAAAGATTCTTTAAAAGTAAATTGAACTTTAAAAAATCTAACTTGAATATCGCCACCAGACAATAGCACAGTACTAAATAAATAGATTCATATAAAACGTGATTAAATATCTAACATAAAATTATTCAATACCAATAAAAAAAATAACCTACTTACATTTAAAAAAAAGGTCATCTTTAGCTTCTATAAAATTACTAGCCTGTCAAGAATTTCGATACACCACCTTTAAAACAGAACATGATTTGTTAAGTAAAACTTGAAAAAATTAAACTTTAGTAACTTTAAAAACAAAATAACTACAAAAAATTCGCAGCATGCACATCTACAATGCCTTGTGCATCTGTTAAAAGCGTCTGAGTTGACTCTTCCAATATGGAGTATTAGAATAGTATTATACGAAGTATAATACTATTTTGATGGTTATCTAAATTCTGTCATTGTTGCACACTTGGTTTAAAATGTTTAACAAGGACATGTTAAAATAGCTGTAAAACTATGTCAAATAAATTTTCTTATTACTTTAATGTTATGCATTTTTAGCTTTTTATTATTTTAAAAAATTATAAATTTAATAAAATGGTTTATTTTAAATATAAAATTAAAATTTTCAATTATGTACTTAATAAAAACATATTTTTCCAACCCCCTTACTGTTTAAAAGAAGTAAAGCATGGCAAATTCAAATCATCAGTTGTTTTTTTTAAACTTTTGTTATTTAAAATGCAAAACAAAACAACTTTCTTTCTTTGAAAACAAATTTCTTTCTTCAAAAGCGTTTTACTTTGTAATTTAGAAAAATTAAAAAAAATTTAATCTGAAAAAAAAAAATTGGTGGTAGGAATTGCACCCGGACTTCCTGCCTAGGAGCATTGCTTGCTAACCACTCAGATACGCAGGCTGAGTTTATATTAACTTTCATACAGTTTTAAATTTTTAAAACTATATAACATATTAAAGACTTTATCAAACGGAAATAAGTGCTACAGATCAAATCTTAAGCAGATTTTGCCGCAATGCGATTTTTAAGTGAAAGTAAAACTAAAAAACTTAATATATGTTTTAGTATGTTTTAACATTACATAATTTGAAGTTGCATACGCTTTTGTTGGCATTATATAAAAAAATGCTGCTATTCTTTCTCATTATTCCCTTGATTGCAATGGCTGCCTCGTGTTAAACACGCTTGAATGAGCATTATTATATTATATGATAAGTTTTCAGAAAGTTGAATGGGATTATTGACAACAAAAATTATTTCTTATAATAGCCACCACTATATAATTAGCCACCATTTATTAGACTTTTGAAATTATGAAATTACTGTTATAATGTAAGTTTAAAGAACTCTTTTATTAAAAAAGTTTACAATTTAGTGACAAGTCACTGTGTGATTCAAAAATGCGTACAATTTTTTAATTGTTATTTTTAGTTTATGCAATCATATAGCTTTAATAGGAAAAAATAACCACATTGTTGTAAAAGTTCTATAAGTTTTTATCTAGAAACTTTTCCATTAAGATATCTTCAAATATATCTGTTATGTTTATGGGATGGTATTTTTTATTTACTGAATACCATCTCGTTACTTTTTTTTTTCCACTTCGAGCTCTGGTTGTATGTAAAAACAGTCAAGACTTTATTTGAAATTTATTTGAAATTATATGGACAAAAAAAGTTAATCTAAAATAAAAATACATATGTGTTTTTAAAATTAGAGCCCTCTAGCTTGTATTAAAATTATTAAGTTCTGAAGGTAACTACTGCAAGATCAACCAGTTTCACCTAAAATATGAAGCATATAATAAAAGTTTAGTAAAAAATACTCTTACTAAAAACAATCATTGGATTAGGGAATTGATTTTTTAAGCAAACAAAATATTTTTTTTTAATTATTTTAGCTAACTTTATTTTTGAACAATGAAAAATCGCAAAAAGTTGCTGAAAAAAACAACAGTGTCGATGAAACAATTAAAGCTGTCCAGATAAAACAACAAGAACAATTGGACGATTTACAAAAAAAGGTATTTGATATTCTTATAAATTATAAAAATACCAACATTTAATAGTAAAGTTTCTTCTAGTATCCATTCATAACGTAATATCCATTCATAACCAAATAAATAACTTTTATTTGTCAAAATTTTTAAAATTTTATCAAAGGTTTTGAAATTTTAATAATTATTTTAAAAATTAAATAGTTTAATAAAGAGTTTTTAATTCAAACATAGTATGTATGACTGTTTTAACTTTTAATAACTTTTAATAATTATTTTAAAATTTAAATAATTTAATTCAAACATAAAAATATGTATGATTATTTTATATATTTATGGTAATTACCAAAACAAATTTTTTAAATTTATTTTCATAGATACCAAATCAAGTATGCATTGATTTTTAAACTTTATAGTTTTTTTTTTTTTTTTTAGCTGCAACTGTTTTTAGATTCAGCTTCATCTAAATCTACTAGTTCTATAGAAAATATCGGTGTCCAGTGCAATATGGTGTCACCTGAAAAAATATCAACTGCAACAAATACAGGAAGTAGTTTACTGTGTGAAGAAGCTTCAACCACTAATAATACAAAGAAAAACATTTGTCCACACTGCTGCAGTTGTTCAAGGTATGTTTTAATTTTTTTCATATAATTTAATTAGAAAATAATTTCTCATTTGCTGATAATAGTTTCTTATTTGATGTTTATTTATTTATTCTTATTTGATGTTTATTTATTCTTATTTGATTTGGGAAAGTGATTCTAAGCAGGTAGTGGTATTCATTTTTCTCTTTTATTAAGAAAAAAAAGTTTGAGACATTCACACTCAATTGGCAAAAGAAATTCGTTACAGAATAATAATTCAATGTTTTTATCAGCTGATTTATCTGATCTTAAAAAAGATGATATACAAGTAGCTTTAAATAATACAGGCACTTCTGGTGTGACGCTCGCATCCTCCTTGCAGGCAGTGGATCTCCCTGTATTTGATGATGGTCAGGATAGCTGTGTTTCTCAAAATAGTGATGAGTGGAATCGAAGTCCGATGCTTGGTTTGACTTATTTTGTTTTCTTTTTATTAATAATTATTACTAATATAGTTGCTGTGGTAAATAAAGTTTATATGCTTATATATAAGTTATTGTGAATGGTGTCTTGATAAATTTAACCATCTGGGGCAGGTGTTAACTGCATCCAGCTACTGTCTTGTAGAAGGCCTTCTATTTTTTTTGTGCCTCTTTGATAGTGGCTATGCAGCTCTTCCTGTTATTTCCAAATGAATGAACAGCTTTAAAACTTAGTGTAATGGTTCTGAGAACAGCTAGTAGTATGAAGTTCTGTGGTATTTTGGTAGCTCAAAAAGATTAAACATAAATAACCATCACCACCACCTAACTGTTTCAATCCATCTTTTACAAATATTTGTGGTCTTTGTAACTTTTTATCAGTTGAATCTTACCTTGTATGAAGTTTACCAGACTTCCTTGTTGTATTTAAATTTGACTGACTGAATTTAAATTTGGTGACTTTAGTGTTCATCATACTGAATGGCTTAGCTCTAACAAATGACCTTGCTGGAACTAAAGCTCATAACTTCTGTATTTCTCAATCTCTTAACTGTGTGACTCTTTTTCCTAACAACCTTAATCACTTAGCATCTCTACTTGATTTGTGTCTTGTCTTTGACTGTAGCTTGTGTTCAGTTACTTTCATACTTCTTCAGGCTTACTCTATCATCTGACTGGAATTTTTTTCATTAATTTTTTGTGACATTTCTTTGGCTGATATCATTTATCTTTCTACTGATGGGTTTCCCACATAACCTCCTGGATCTATGAATTTTTTAATTGTATTTTTTTAATTATTAATTTTCTTAATAAATTTTTATAATTTGACTAAAAAAATATTAGTTTATAATTTTTTTAAGTTACTTTGCTATCATTCTTTTATCATTCTTCATTCAGAAAATAAAAGTGATATCTTGATTAATAAATACACACAAAAAATTATGTTCTGCAATTTTGAAAATTTTTTTTTGTTTTTATCATTATTCTAATAATTTTGTTTTCACTAGGTGAAAGTGCTAGTATGTTAATAGATCAACAGAATCAATTAAATGCTGTTAAAAAGCAGGCGGAAAGTGTAATAGAGAATGATACAGGAAGTTATAATAATCACTTTTACTCACAAATGATGGTATGCTTTATTATTGTTGTTGTTAATTTTGTTAATTTTTTTTTATTTATTATTATTATTAATAATAATATTTTTTTATTTATTATTATATGTTGTTTATTATTATTACTGCTGTTAGTGTTATTATTATTGTTATTATTAGTTTTGCCTTTCTTGTTATCATTATTATTGAAATAGCTATTTATGCTATGGATTTTATTGTTTATTAAAGTAATTGTTTCCTGCACCTTGTGTACCAAGGCAAGAAACAAAGCTGAATTAGCAGCCTTGTCTATAAAGGCTTGTTGTTATAAGTTAAAATTAAGTAGCAACCTTAAGTGGCAACCTTTTTTTATTGAGTATTTCATAGTTGTAGGCTTATGCGAGGGTTAAAAAAAAGGAAATAATTAATTATAATTATCCTTTAGTTGTCTTACCTTAGATATTTCCTAGTGTTGATGAAATGTTTCCCATTATTGACAAAATTAATAATACATAATTTTAAATTTTTACTTCAAATAACATTCAGGTCTTTAGGAAATCCCAATTTCACTAAATTTGTAAATGATAAGTTAATTATAGACTATAGTTGAAAGTTTTTCCCTAAAAACAAAATTTACAACAAGATGATCTAAACCTTTTTTGTTTTGATTTCAAATGCTCTTTTTCTGTATCTGTTTCATTTTTCTTCAGAATAGATAGCACCATTAAAATGAGGGCAACATTTTTAATGGGTGATTTCTCTAAAGTTTGTAAAGCAAAAAGTTAAAATTATATTTGAATAAATTTATTGACTATTTTTTAACAAATTATTTGAAACTTCAACAAATTAAAAAAGTTATGTAAGTAGTCTTTATTTAACATGATGTAATTATTAAAAGTACTTATGGTTATATATATATATATATATATATATATATATATATATATATATATATATATATATATATATATATATATATATATATATATATACATATATATATATATATATATATATATATATATATATATATATATATATATATATATATATATATATATATATATATATATATATATATATATATATATATATATATATATATATATATATGTATGTATACATGTTTGTGTGTTCATAAGTAAATTAGGTATGAACACCCTCACACACACACACACACACACACACAATTTAGTTAGTAACTAAATTTAAAATATCAAAAACCAACAAATTTAATATCTTATGTGAGTATAATATGTTTTATATATTAAGTTAGTATTATTGATAAATTTTAACAATAATAATAACTTAGTATAGTATACTCACAAGAGATATTTACTTTGTTGGTTTTTGATGTTTTATATTTAGTTACTAACTAAATATAAAACATCAAAAGTTAGAAACAACTTTTTTCTTTTTCCACAAATTTTTATCAAATAAAAAGTCAGACTTTCAAAAACTCACTGTGTAACCAGCATAAAGTGATAAAAATGTGAACTGCAAAAATAAATTTTTATTTTAAAAAACCTTGGAGGAAAATCATCAACCGAAAGTTTGCTGAGATTAAAAGTAAACATTTTAAAACATTATAGAAGTTATAACTTACTGCTCTTGTATAAATGTACCGCATCTGCGTCTAGTGTTGTTTTTATAGTTATTAACTAACCGGTTTTTAATAAAACCTACTACAATGAATCGATATTACACTATATTACTACAGAGGTAGCCATTATATTATTTCTCTTCTAAAAAGTCTATCGTAGAAAATTTACAATAAATAAAAAACTGACTACCTCTGTAGTAACTTGGTCTAATCAATCAATATTTAAGGACACACAAAAGCAATGATCCGAACAATTTTTTTTTCTTGTCTTGGTTTTTAATTAACAAAATGTATCATTTATTTGATAATTTGCAAAAAAATTGAGAAAATTCGGAAGTTATCGTATCTAATATAATGATTTAGTGAAAACCCGGGTTTCTTTACCCCTAAAAATCCCGCACTTAATAAGACAAATTTAAAAAAATTTGAAATAAATATTTTTTTTTAAACTAATGCTAACTTGTTTCAGTTAAAAAGTGTTTAAAATATTAAAATTGATTTTTTTTTTTTTTTTTTTTCATAAAAGTAACTAAAATCCTATTTCCGCTACGCGACCCGTAGTGTGGCGGTAGTACAATGGTGCTACAAAAGTACATATAGTGGTATTACATTGAAGCTACAATGGTGTAGTTACTGAAAATACTTGTTTATCAATATATGCAATTGTTAAAGTAACATCAATTTTGCAAACTTTTCCTTTTTGCATGTTTAAGACACAATAGTATGCATTTCATTTCATACATAATTCAAAATAAATTTGCATTAATTTAAAATTGTAAGAAACACTATTTATTTAGCTTAACACATTGTTTTCAGTTAGATGATGTATTTTTAGCTGCACTTATTTCTTTACCTGATTTTGTGCATATACATGAAAAAAGCTTTTTTTTTTAAATTTCAGAAAAATATCTAATATGGTTCTTTAGAAAATGCTATTGAAGTAGTGAACTATTGAAGTAGTGATTTGGCTCACTTATAAATTTTGAATGCAGCTCTCTAATCAACAGAATTTGAATGCTCTCTAATCAACAGAATTTTTTTGAAATGTTTATCCAGCACATGTAGATCAACATGAGATTTTGTATTAATTTTTTATATTAATTTTTAAGCTATAAAATTAAGCTTGAACTCTTTAAAAACGCAAAATATTCTAAAAAAAAATTATCAATTTTAGTCCGCTGTTATGGAAAAAGCTAAAATGCCAGATTTTAAATTTTTTTTTAACATTTTTTTTTTAATATAATATTAAATTAATTGAAGTATAAAACCAACTTGTTCGTTATTAGCTGTTGAAAACGATGAAAGAAGCCATTTTTCATTGAAGAGTAAAAGTGCTAAATATATAAATTAACTGCTATGCTAAATAGACCATTGCTTAACGTTTTCCCAAGAACCGCATATGATATTGATCTCAACTTTTCAAAACACGGTTTTCTTATATATATGGACAAAGTCAAAAAGTTTCAGCAAATTCTGGGATGTTCTATGAGGCACCATTACTTCACTTGTCATACAATGACCCCAGAGCGTATTTAAACTTACCTTTCAAGCCTGATTCCAATATTTATTTATTTTTTATTGACTACAACTTTAATTTTTGTTAAAATATACAAGAAGCCAGACTTAATGTCTACTAACTTATTTTCTTGAAAAAATTTATTTTCTAAACAAATAATTTTTCTATAACTCTTCGGGGCGATTAAACATTACAGCAAATACATTTAAATAAAATTTATTAGTCTTTAAATGTGCATGAAAGTTTTTTGCTTATTTCTGTTTATGTTTCCGGGTACGATCTGCGCCCGACTACCTAAGACTTTATATCGATGTATACTTAAGTGCTCACTACGCGTTTAAGAACATTATATTCGTTTCATATAAAATTTAACTAATCAAACATTTTCTAGGAACACGTTAAACAAATGATTTGTGCTCAAAATATCTCAGTATCATCAAGTAATTCAGATGACGCATCTGATTCGAATAAGGTTTTATTATCGAAGACATCTCCGAAAGTTAACATGGTAAAATCAGTGACATCTTCGAGTATTGATACGGTTAATTTAGCAACATCTACAAATAATACGGTGAAGTTAGCTACAGAAGCTCAATTGCAAAAGATCATTAATCAACCGTGAGTAGATTATTTTAATTACCATTTGTGTTCTAAGTAGAACACAAATGGTCTATAGGTCCAGAGTATCTTGATAAATGGTCAAATATCCAGAGAACTATTTTAAAGATTATATTTATATCGTAACTAAGTAACTACAATTAATTTTTAAATTTTTTTTTTTTTTTTTTTTTTTTTTTTTTTAGTGTCTATTTTTTGTGACATTTGTATTGGTGTCATTGGTATTCATTTTAATTAAAAGTTGCAACGTCTATTATTGCAATGGTTTGCTAATTATTGTTTCATTTATTTTATTGCTATACCTTGTTTAGATTCGAAGTTCGGATGCAATCTATATCAACAGGCGCAATCTACAATCACCCTAAAATTAACTATCATTCGATGTCTGTAGACGAAACACTAAGCGAGTATTCACAAAATGATATTGATGTCATAGCTGCAAAGTATCTTCCTGTTACGGACTTACGTGCTGAACTACGCAACAAAACAGTAACTTTTGAAGGTGTTGTAGAAAGTAACACAACAAGTGTTAATTTTTCATGCAATATGAGTATAGCTTCTAAAAGGTATCTCCAAAGATATCAACTCAATGAAGAAAAAAATGATTTCATAAATAAACCAATTGTTAGACCTTCAGTTGATGCGAACGAAACAGTTAATCGTGAAATCAAGAAATCCCATGTTGGTAAAGAAAATATATTAGACATGAAAAAGATAAGAAATCTTCCAAAATTAATTTGATAAATAAATTTAAAAATTTTTTGCCCAGCTTAAAAAACTTTTTACGAAAAACTTTTGCTTTTGTTACAAAAAATTTAATAAAAAAAATATATAAAGTAAAACAATTTGATAAAAATTGCTTTGTGTTATGTGAATTAAATTTTTTTTTTTTTTAATTTTTTATTAAATTTTGTTGCTCACTACTGTCGCCGTAGTCATCTTTATTTCTGCTTTAATGTAATAGTTAGACTGCAGCCATTTTTGGTGCTGTTATTACCCTGACAATCATTAAATGAAAAATGAATTTTGAAGCAAAAAATATTATTTTTTAAATGTATGTGAAAAAAAATCCAAGCTCCAGGATGAGTACTAAATGAACGCAAAAATAATTAATGGTAGTTCTTGTAGATTATAAGTTCTAATAAAACATATTGCCCAATGTGTTTATTCTATTTGAGGGTAACTCAACGAAGGAAGTAAAAGTATAAGTTGTTTCAACTTTAAGAATAATATATTGGGTAGTTCAAACTCATATTTCGCAGTACTTATCTTGGTAACACAAAAAATAGTTTATGTGAAAAAGCAAATTAAAGGCCATATGTTTACAAAAAGTATTTTTTATACAGATTGAAAGTTGCTGCATTTATTCTAATAATAAATGCGAAATAAGAAAAAATTACTTTAACTAATCAAGTAATAATCAATAAAATTAAACTCATAAAAATTGAAGTAAAAATAAAAACTGAAATTTCGACCAATTTTCTGAAATAGTAAAAACCACAAAAACAATTCTTTAGCTAAATTTCAGTAGCTTCTATCTACGACAGACTAGGAATGCAATTTAAAAATTAAAAATGTTAACAAATCTCATGACATTTTCAAAACTATTAAGTAAAGCATATTCAATAACAACTAAGTTTATTAAAATAAAAATTAACAAAAACTTTGAGTAACATTAAAAATAATAAAATATCCACACAAAAAACCACAACGAGAATCAGAACATTCAACTCAAAGTTTATTCTTTTGAGTGAATATTATTTTGTCACTGGGAGCCACTCCAATGAAAATTGTGTAATGTTAATTTTCGCTGTTGAATATTTTATTTGCTGCTTTATTTATTTTAGCTTCGTATAAGCTGTATAAATACAGTGAACACATTTTATATAAGCAACCTCTCTATAAACAACATTCTATATAAGCAACCTCTCTATAAGCAACATTCTTTAGAAGCAACAGCTATACAAGCAACTTTTTTTAGTTCAACTGTTCTGTACCAGCAACTTATTTTTTTAAAGCTAAATATTTGAGTTAAGTTTTGAGTTTAGGCTAATTCAGAAGTAAAATCAGCTGTTCACAAAAACATAACCTCAAATTATAAAAAATTATGTTATGCCTTGCGTAAACGCTACAGGTACATAAATTAGATTTGATGATGAGAGGGAAATCAAAATCTCTTTGTTGCTCCAAAAGTATGAATTTGTCAGTATATTACAAATTATCTAAAAATGTTTGGCAGACTTATACACTTTTTAACGACTTGTATAATGATATATTCATAACTTCAGTAACTCGACACTTGGAAATTAGAAACCTTTTCGTAAAAGCCCTTCTCTCAATAGATAGTGCAACTTGTCATGATTCTGAGATTAATTTTACTGATAACCCAAATTTTAAGGTTATGTTTTTATCTCCTAATAACACATAATAATAACACACCATTATTGCAACCACTAGATCAAAATGTGATAAAATTACTAAAACAACGCTACTGCAAACATCTATTTGGATGTCTTGCAGCATTAGATGCAGAAGATGGAACAGTTTCAGCACTGAAAAATATAAATTTGAAAGATGTTATTTATTTAATGGTGCAGACATGACATGGAATTCCCGTATCAGTTATACAAAATTCATTTAAACATCTTTAAAATTTCATTAAATGAGTTCAAAGTGGTAATTGAACAATACAAACTAAATGTAATTTCTGAGACTGAGACATGGTTTAAAAATGATTCAGTTGTAAACATTGAAGGTTATCTTCTGTAAAGAAAAGACAGATCAGGCGGAAGAAAAGGTGGTGATGTTTGTTTATATATAGACAACTCATTAGACTCCTATGAACTAAATGATGCTGTTCTAAATTCCTGTAAATTAGAAAAAGTGTGAGCAGTTGTTTTTTTTTTATAATGGCACGTATTTACTTAGATGTATCTACAGGACAAATGATTTTTTGGATATGGCAGGATTTGATGTGGTTTTTGGCCTGGCACGCAAATATATAAACAAAAATAAGTTCAAAGACTTATTTATCATGGGCAACTTCAATTTCCCATCAATCAACTGGTCAAATGGCTGTGTTGATGCAATTTCAAATGAGAATGGAATTGAATATAAATTTACAGATATTTTAAATGATAATTTTCTTTATCAGCATATTAACATACCAACTATCCAGCTGTCAGACGAACAACTTGGAAATACCTTAGATTTAATCTTTATAACTCAGTCAGCAAGTGTTAATGAAATAGATTCAAAATTTGTTTTGTGAAACATGACCAGAGGCCATTTAATAATATGTTTCAGTTTCATCTTGTCTGATAAAGCAATTCGTGATAATAAAAGTAAGCAAAGATTTATGTTTGCTAATTTTAATTTTGAACTAATATCTGATCTAGTTTCAAATGTTGACTGGATACAATGCTTTAGTAACAAAAATGTACAAAAAATGTTTGATCAAATGATTTTCTATACTGAGGTGGCATGTAATCAATTCACTCCAATTAAAAAGACATTAAACTCTTTAAAAATTAAACCAGCCTGGGTTTATGCTAGGTTAAAGTTTCTTATTAGAAGCAAACAAAATTTAAGATATAAAAACTGCTCGTGTAAATGGAAAGACCCTGTTTTAAAATCTAAGTACAAAAAGATTTGCAAGAATGTTACAAACGAGATTAAAAAAATGAGACAAAACTTTGAGCTTAATCTGGTAAAAAGAGCCATCAAGAATCCAAAGCTTCTTCTCTACAGCTACATGAACAGTCAACAAGCAGTCAAAGATACTATAAAAGCATTACAGGGAGCAAATGGTAAAACTACTCAAAGTTCAAAAGATATTGCTGATATCACAAACAAAAATTTTCAAGCTGCATTTGTGAAAATGATGGTCTATTGCTTTCTTTTGGTTTAAGAACTACTGAAACGTTCATTATGACAAATAAAGATTTTACATATGAAGATGTCTATCTAAGATTAAAAAACTTAAAAGATAACAATTCAAGTGGTGTTGATAATTTACATTCAGCTATTTTAAAGAATTGTGCATCAGCCTTTGCCATTCCACTTACGTATATTTTTAAAGAGTCGTTTGAAACCAGCAAACTGCCAGTGCAATTTAGATCAGTAAATATCACTCCTTTGTACAAAAAAGGTGAAAAAACCTTAGCAGGAATCTACCGACCGGTATCACTTACCTCAATTGCATGTAAAACAATGGAAGGTATAATCAGATGTAAACTTGAAACTTTTCTATATAAGTTCAAACTAATAGTCAAGCAACAACACGATTTTGTAAAAAATAAATCATGCTTAACGAATCTACTTGAAACATTTTATTTTGTTTCAACCGCCTTAGAGAATGGTAAACATGTTCATGTTATTTTTTTGGATTTCACCCCATAAAAGATTGTTGCTTAAACTTACAGACTATGGAATATCTGGTCTGACTATACAATGGGTTAAAGCATTTTAAATAAAAGAAAACAAAAAGTTGTGATAGACGAAAATGTATCCTCTAGGGCAGAAATTACCAGTGGTATGCCACAAGGGTCTGTAATTGGACCACTATTGCTTGTACTATTCAGGCGATACGCCTGAAACTCTAAAAAATCCAATCAAGCTGTATGCAGATGATTGTTTAATTCGATATTTAATTATTGTAACTTAGCAGATACTGAAAGTATGGAGTGGGCAAGTGGAACAAGCGAAGCAAATCATCCATTTAACCTTGAAGAAAAAGTAGAAAGTGAAACTACTCCTATTAAAGAAAATGAAAAAGCGTTGGATAACTTCAATAAAAACATCAATGATGTTATAAATTTTTTTTATTTGACAGAATGCGCAAAAAAAAATGACTTACCCTGCAATGTGGTTCTTTTGTTGGTAAAAATAAGAGAAAAAGCTATCATGAATAAATAATAGTTTTTGTTTGCTTTGGCAATTAGTCCTGTACTAAACCAAAGATTTATTAAAATTTAATTTTTTAATTTTTTTTTTCTTAATGAAATTATTAACTACGCTTTTATGATTTTTCTTTTAAATATTTTCTTTTGCAAAAAACTTGAATATTTTACCTAGAAATTTTTTGATTAATTTGGACTTAATAATTTATGTATTAAATTAATAAGTCCAAAAGCAGAATTGTTACCATGTACGAACCATTCTTTTATACACACAGTTTTTGTATGTACATTAGAGTTTTTTGAGCTTACTTTTTCAAAAAAATGTATACCTTATGACATATTTTAAAAAATATCAATCTATTACTTACTTAACTATATAAATCAGAAAAAAACTGCAATATAGTAGCAGATAGAAAAAAGAAAATATGTAAAACATAAATACGTAATTTTATAAAACATAAATATATAAATGTATAAAACATATATATAATTGATAAAACATAAATATATAAATATATAGATTATAATTATATTATTTTTTGTAGATTTTAAAAGGTTCGAATTTTAAAGTTAAAGTAAAATTCTTTCAAAAACACTTTTTAAATTTCTGAAAGTTATATATATATTTTTTTAACAAAGTGGTATGGAATATATAACCCATTTTACTATTATAGTTACTAAGATTTTTACTATATATAACTTACATTTTTTTTAACAAAAGAGAAAAAAACTAATTTTTAAGAAAAGAAAAAAAAAAAAAAAGTCAAAATTATGCAAATTATGTAAAATATTCAAATTTTGTAAAATATCAAAACTGAATATTTTACTTTTTCCCTTACTAACTAAACTGTAAGTTTAGTTAGTAAGGGAAAAAAATAAAAAAA